CATTGCTTTCCAATGGTGACCTCCCTATGGGAGGACCAAGCCCCCGGGAGAGCATTTCCCCTGTTCGGTGTGACTTGCTGGGATAACCAGACCCCTGCTCTTGCAGGGGGGGCACTGGTGGTACCCACATGGCAAGTGAAAGCCACCCAGAGCGGCTGTGTGGAGCTAGGGCATCTCATGGGGTTTGGGGCTGACCGTAACGGTCCATCCACGCCACTCAGACTAATGTTAACATCTCGGAGACACTTGTTGTCTCCCCTTTAGAGCATTGTTGGCTCAGGAGGACTTAAATAAGCACCACATCCCTCACCCTTCCGTCTGCAGCCTCTTGCTTCACTGATTCACAGACACTGATTGCTTCTGCTGCGGACAGGCTTAAACTAGTGGCATGGATCTGTTTCCGAGATCTTCCATTCAATATATTTCACATATATGTGTAACTAACAGTGTTTGTAGTGCAGCACCTTGGACACAATCTGTATTTCCCCAACCCATGATGCAGAAGCACTGTTTGCTTTCCTCTTGGCCAGGACTTCCCCTACAGCATTATTGACGTTCCAGCACCTGCTGTTTGTCCACTCACTCGCTGTAGCATCTGGTTCAATAACATCATCTTATGCAAAGCACCACACTTGGCACAAATCTACTTAAGTATTATGAGGGTTTGAGTTTCCTTCCTTTCTGGAAGGTGAGGAAGCATCAGGCAGAAGGGTGTTGTCAAAATACTCACCAGAAAGGGAAAGGGAGACTAGAAGCACAGAAGTATTGCTGTGTCCCAAAACTGTGTAATCCCAAAGAAGAAAATACCCTGCTTTTATGAAGCTCTAACAAAGACCACAGGGACTCTATGGGTGATACCCACTCAGAGCACTATCAGAGGAAGCCATGTGCTTCCCACGAACAATGCTGAGAAGTTGGTTTAGACATTTACTGTAATCTGGCCAAAGGGAGGCTGTTATTAGGGTGGGAAGAGAAGATCTTGCCCGAGACAAGGCTGTCGGGTGATTGCCTACAAGATGTGAAATCTCAGGCTGATCAACACAATGACATTGCAACCCTCTCAAGGAAATACTAGGGGAGCCTTAGCCAACGGGGTGAAAGAGAACAACTAAGGATATTGTGGGCTGTCTTTGCAAGTCTTACATTGAAACTTTTGTTCCGTGGAATGAATTGCATCACAATAAAAGCTTTAAGAAAAGGCAGGAATAGCTCCTTAATGTATATTATTATATTGTAACTCCTTAATAGGAAATTACTCCTTTATGGTTTTTTAAACCTTCTCTCCTCCAACATGTTGCTCCAAGAGAAGTGCTGAGATTTTGCTCTCTTTTGACACATGAACATGTACCCCTGTGTTTCTTGCACCGAGGAGCAGAACATGGTGGAGCTTGAGAACATGCCCAAAATTAAGACCAGCTCTGACATAAGATGTCACAGGTACAGAGGCACCTCGCAAACAGCTGCCATAGGCTGTGTGTACAGGAGGGGAGAGGTTTATTTTATCAGTGTACTGCACAGCTCCATTGACAAGAGCAGTGTGAATCTACCCCTGATTAAATTATTGACTTCAATGGAATTGCTCCACTGTATCCATAGAAGGAAGTCCTGTATTAGGGTATTGCTCAAGACCCTAAAGTAGCAGGTCCTAAATGATTCTGCCTCTTGCTTCATGCTCCTAATCCGTGGTGGGAATCCTGCCTTCAGAAGGAGCTCATGCCATTACATAGGGCTGCTACTGATGAGTGGGTGCCAAATGGGTTGCCTTTGCATACCCCGGGACAGCCACCAGGCAGCCAGCCTGGGCCTTAGAGCAGACCCTGCTGACTTGCACTGACGTTGCAGTATAATTACTGAGTTGCAGGTGCTGTCTCGCAGAGCAGGTGAGCAGTGAAGGGAAAATCAAAGGCAGGAATTAAGGAAATATTAAAATCTCAGACAGACAAGATGGGGGAAGCTTAAAAGCTCCTGGGAAGGGCCATGGTAAAGGATTCTGCTGAACCTGGTGCAAAGCAAAGCCTGAAGCACTGTCTCAGGCAGCTCACTTTGGTCTTGCTTCCTTTTGATGGTGGAAGACAGAAGTACCTAGAACGTGTCATTACTCCTGTGATGTTCCCCCAAAAGCAGGCTGGCTATGCAGGAAAATGAAATGGCCCCTTTGGTGTCACTGTCAGAGAGGGAGGCCATAAATTCACCAAACATTTATCCCTGGGAGTGGCAAGACCTGATATTGGTTCGTTCATTAACGTTTTCCAATCCTCTTTTCCATGCCAGTGCCCAGTAAAGGACTTTTCACCTGCTAACGCATAGAGCAAGTCAAGTCAGAGCAATCAGGAAGCACCTTCAAGGCACACCCAGGGCCAGGCAGCAGCAGGTTAGCTATCAACCAGAGCGATTGGCAGGGGCAGGACGGGACGAAACGTGAGAGAGAAGCTGTTTGTGTAAGCACAGGGCCAGGTATGAGGCCCGCTTCTCTTCACATTGCACCTCATTGCTGGTTTGCAGAGCACTGAAAGCAAAATGAAGTGTGACCGATTCCTCCTGAAATCCGTATAAAGAAGGACATTGAGAGCTGAGGGCTGGGGACAGCCTGAGCATGTGCAGCTCTGAAGTCACAGTTTTATGGTTAGCGACTATAAATATCACTTTCTTTCTCTGCTTGGAACCACAGACGCTCAGCTTTCTTTCCAAGACCCACAGAGGTGTCACATTTTACAGATGGCAAGAAAAAGAGGCTGCCAAAGTAGCATTTACATCAAGTCCCTATACATTTACCTTATAAGAAAGGGGAGGATGCCTTGTTTTAACACATGCAAGATGTGGACTTGTAACAAACTCTGTTTGAAGTCAACACTGCACGAGTAGCAACAGACTTGGCGTTTCTTCTTCAACAGTCAATGGTGTTGCATATAGCGTGCATCTCTCCTTGCAAGAAAGGATTTAACTTCCATTTCCTCATTTCTGGAAAGCTCAATGAGCAGTTTAGAAGTCCCATGATGAAACAGAGGAGGCAGTGGGCTGGGAATTTGCAGTCCCAGTTTTTACTCACAGCTCAGGTTTTGGGTATGCATCAGCTACAAGGCTTTGTAGGCAAGGAGAGGAAGGCAAGATTCCCCTGGCTGGAAAGGCAGCATAGGGAGGTTGGGAGCACAGTGAATTTGGCCTAAAGCTGCACTGTAACAGTCATTCTGTTGCCTGTGGGGTGAGGTGGGTCCACCTTGGTCCAGACTGTGCACCAAGGCTTTGTAAAAGCAGAAGATGGTGTATGTATGACTGCGTTTAATACCACCTTCCCCCTATACACGAGTGCTCCTACATTTCATACCAAAAGCCATGAGCAGAACCTAGACATGATGAAAACTGCCCAGGTCACCCCAAAGTGATCCTGGAGCAGGTCCAGAACTGACTAAACATACTGGGTGTCTGACTCTGACCTGATAACTCCCAAGTGTCTGCAAATGTGGATGGAAGCCACAGAAGGAACTTGGAGTGATGGACAAACAGCCACACACAAGCAGCACATGGCACTTGCCCCTTCTTGAGCCAAGATCTGCAGTACCCTACTTTAGGCTCTGACACAGCTGCCACAGTTTATCCTGTCCCCCTGCCAACCCAGCCACCCCACAAACCCCTCCTGGTTTTAATGGCCTGAAGCCTTTCCGGGTTTCACCACAAACCCAGCACACACAATTCAGTGGCTGCAGGAATCCAAGCACCAGGTCCTGCTTTGGTGCAATGAACATGGATTGGTCACGAGCCCTTGGCCATGCCGAGCTGGTGGCACCCAGCAGAGTGGTTCTACTCTGCCTTTGCAGGTGTCAGCACGGCACATGCTGCCCATTGCAGTATTATTTTTCCTTGTTGAGTGACTCCAGTATTAACTACTTCCCGATTTCCCCCAAAACAGCTGGATTCCACTTTCTGTTTCCGTAAAATAATTGTTAGCACAGTAAGTTATTAAGTGGTTTAACCAACCTTTTCATTTCCCAGCTGGAGCTGCAGGGGTCTTTGGTTGCATTATTTAGAGCATTAAATAGATATGGAAAGATAATCTATCCAGGACCTTTGAAGGCCTGACAATTATAGCATCCAGTGACTCAAGTAATAATAGAAAATGCCAGAGGATGTTGCAGGATTATACAGCGTGTTGTAAATATATCCAAAGCATTGAATGCAACGTGTAAAAACCACCTTAAAGTTCAATCACCCTCAAATGCCAGTGGGACAATGGCTTTTGCTGATGACACCGAAGACCCGGCCAAGCCAAACAGAAACAGCAGGTTATGGGGGACCTCAGGTGCACCCTGAACTAAGGCACACAAATATCCCAGCTAAATCACTTCATGGCATTGCCATCTAGTGACAAGCACTCGGCCTGCGCCCAGGCAAACCCTGAACCTCTGAGCAGCTCACCACATGCCACCCAAGACGGCACAAGACCTGCTTGATTCTCTCCAAGCAGAGGTTAAGCGCCCCATTCGAGCTCCACGGTTGTAGATTATCATAGCTGCTATGTGAGTGCACAGCCCACACGGGACTGGCAGGGATTGGCACGCACAGGGAGGGGTATGTGTCAGGTTGCGTGCTTTACACATGCTTAAAAGCAGGCATAAACATGTGCAGCAACAAACAAACCTCTTGGGTGCTGCCACAGCCTCCGAGGTGCTGGGCAGCCCTGGGACTGCCCCTGGATGGGCTGTTACCTCCCAGGGCTTGACACAAGCTTGAGCCATGCGGATGGGGAAAGGTGATGCCAAGGGCATGTGCAGCACCCTGGCTTCCAGCAGCACCCATGAGCACGCAGCAATGCTGGCAGGGTGCTCCTGAATCTGGGAGAAATCCCTCTCCTCCCCCTACTGCAGGAAGGGATTGTTCATAAAGGTATCACCAGCAGAGATAAAGATGTCATTGTCCCACTCAGTGCTTTTTGGGTCACATCTGGAATACGGGGTTCAGTCTTCATCCCTATTGTGTATATATCATGTATATACTCATATTGGAAAAGGTCCAGAGAAGGGACACAAAGATGATCCAATGACTGGTAAACCATGTGAGGAAGGGCAGATAGAACTGGGTTTGCTCAGCCTAGAGAAAAGGTTCAAGGAGACCTTATCACCATGTTTCATTATTTAAAGGGTGGCTACAAAAAAAAAGATGGAGACTCCTTTTTCCAAGGAGTCACATGGAAAAGACAAGGGGTGATGGGCACACCGGGGGAGATTCCAGCTGGAGGCAAAAGGAATATTTTTCCCAATGAAAACAACCAGCCACTGGACTAATCTCCCCAGGGAAGTGATGGGTTCCCCAGCCCTGCACACTTTCAGGATTCAGCTGGGCAGGGTGCCGGGACACCTAATTTAGGTCATGCTGTGCCTAGAAAGGTTGGACCAGATGATCCTCGAGGTCCCTTCCAGCCTGGGATTCTGTGATTCCATGATATAAGCTCAGTGGCTGAAAATCCCCGCGGAAGCAAAAACCTCCCTTTTCCTTCTCTCTTCCGCAGGATCCTTCTCGCCCCTTCCCTGGAGCCAGGAATCCCGCTCCCGGTAACGGGATGTCCCAGACCCGCTCCTTACCCCAGCCCACTAGATGGTAGCACAGCTCCGCGGACGGGCGCACCCGACCCCGGCCGTGGGCTGCCCACCCCTGAGCGGTCAGTTCAGGCCTCTGTCCCTCCAAACTGCACGGGCTTTAACCCTTTAACCTGAGGGCTCCTCACCCCCTAGAAGGGAGGAGGAGGGAGCCAGGTGCATTGCTTTAAATTGCCTTTTCCTACCTTATTTTAGGGAGGATTCTAGCACAGGTCGCATCTGAGCCTTGTTGGTGGGTCTCAGTTTGTACCTCTGGAACATCCACAGTACAAAAGGCACAAACAGGCCTTTCCTGTTTGTTCTCATGCAGCTCCTTGCAGGGTTTTGCAGAGCTCCAGCGGGGGGGATGCGCTGTGCTCACGGCTTTCCAGATGGGACATTGCTCTCCAGAAGCAGGACAGTTAGCCAAATTCACCCGAATGTCTCAACTAAGCCAGAAACAGATTAAATCTGAGGGGCTATTTCCCTAGTTGCAGCTGTAATTACATAGAAAACAACCCAGTTTCATGCAGCATCCAAGTAATTTACCGGAGTAACAAAGTGCCATGCCCAGGCTCTGGCAATTTGAGAGCATACCAGCAAGCAGCCAGCCTGGGTGGGATCCTTCTACAAACCACAGCAAAAAGAGCTTCGAACAGGAACACTTACAACAGAGAGCAAAGAAACAAGGTCCTGCGGAACACAGCTCTGGCAATAAAGGGATTTGACATTCCTGATAAGGAGTTAGCACAGGTTAAACTCCTCTGTGTGCAGAGAGGTGTGAAGTGCTTGAAGCTGTGAATTGCTCTGCTTCCTTGGCTCAGCTTATCTTAATGACAAGTGGATCCTCCAGCCTTGGAGGGGTGAGAAGGCAATGCAGTGGTTGCAGCCTGGTGGGGTTGACCCTGCAGCCCAGATAGCACAGATATGTTACAGAGCTCACCCCTGGAGTCCTGCACTGTGAGGATTTGCATGGGATTTTGCATAGATCCACATTTTCTCCCTATTTAAGGGTTCCTGCTGTTTTCTACTCAGAAATGACTATGATAAAGCCTTTATCAAAGTACCCTCCAAACAATTGCTCTGGATGTCAGGTTAGGGTTTCTCCTGCTGCAGAGCAATCATCAGGTCATTCACTGCGAAGTGAGAAGGCTGCAGAGAGCCCAACTCCTTCCAATGGCCGCTCCCCAAGAGAGAGGACACTCCACGTTAGGAAATCTTACCCACTAAAGACCACTGAAGAGGGTGCTGAGGCGCTGGCACAGGATGCCCAGAGAAGCTGTGGCTGCCCCATCCCTGGCAGTGTTCAAGGCCAGGTTGGACACAGGGGCTTGGAGCAAGCTGCTCTAGTGGAAGGTGTCCCTGCCCATGGCAGGGGTTGGAACTGGGTGAGCTTTAAGGTCCCTTCCAACCCAAACCATTCTATGGAATGTTTCAGGTGGTACCTAAGCAGCATTTGGGGTCCTCACCCACACTGCCTTGGAGCACACAGTCTGCAGCTCCTGGAGCTGTGCCATCCCCACCAACTCCTGCTTTACAAGGAACTAAACGCCTGCAGAAGTGGTGGAGAAGAAGCTGCTGTGCTTCAGGCTGGAAATGCTGAAGCTGTGAATGTGGAAAAGCCCAGCATCATCCTCTTCATAGTAACATGTGCTAATGGACAGATCAAACGCCCCCCTTCCCCTGACTCCTTCCTCTCCTCTGGACCTCTGCAGCCTTGTTAAGCGACTTGCCGAGCCGCCCTTTGCCAGTGCAATAAAACATGCAGACACGGAGCTGATGGTCTTGCTGGTAAAACAGCACATCTCAGGCCAGATTCCCTTGCGGTGTCAAACCAAATTGCTTCACAAAGGGCCGACATTTCACAATCTTCCTTTCAACTTCCCGTCCGCCGCTGCTATACAATACCTACCCCAACTGTTCGCAATTAAAACATGACCAGGGATGTGACCGCTCTGAATGATACAGATTATCATCATCAACAACAACAAAGGGAAGTGCACGGTTGTTTTCTTTTCAAAAGCTTTTAATAGGACACATTTGTTTTTGTCATTTGTAAAGATTTACACTCATTTTTTTGTCTTTTTTCTTTTTTCTCTCTTTTTTTTTTTAAAAGGAACGTTTTAACCCAATTTTCCCCATGAATACCACCTTTTGTTGCCCTGACCAAAAGACCTCGTTTTGGCCTATATACCTGATACAGTATAACAATATATTAACTATTAAATACAAAGTTCTATCATATATACTAGGTTGTTACGGACATTGCAATGGTACTGTGCCTACTCTAGTCACCTTGTGTTATAGTGTACATGGGTTATTATAGCCAAAGGGGCAGAAAAGGGGAGCCTGGGGCATAGCCTAATTTACAGTGGTAATGCTTTTGTTTTCGTTTTCTTTTCTCCTCGAATACACCTTGTGCTGAGTGCAATCCACAGAAGTCAAAAACAGTGTTTTCCTTGCCCTCCTCCAAAATATCTACAGTATAAATGTCCTGTAACCAAGCTATGAAAAATCAGTTCTGTGTGCCAGGGCCTGCAAGAATGGAATTCCCATCTTTCCAGACACATCTGCAATCTCTTTTTCCCTATGTATCAGACTGGCAATAGCAGAATATCCTCCTCCCACCTGTATACAGTAAATCCACAGTAATAAAGTGCTGGTGTGCTTGAATGAATTGGATAGCCATGCGACTACTTTACCATCGATAGGGGCTGAGTTTTGGGGGTGGATGTTTTGTGTGGGTACAGTTCTCCAACAGTAATAGCACTGCAATATCGTAGAACTTGAGTTTAGCTGCTTATTTCTAAATGCGACCTGGATGCAAGCTCTGAAACTAGGCTATACACGCTGTAATACAGTAGGTTTGGCTCCAGGTTTATGTAAAGAAACTTGTAGATAAGAGCTGCTTCTGTTCCCAAGATGCTACGCAGACTTTTAACAATTTCTCTATAGATTTCTACAAAAATATAAAAAGTTCTATCAACATAACCATTCTACAGAATTCCGGTGGATTTTGTACATTTTGCTTAAAAAAAGTCAAATTCTATAAAACCCCCCCAAAGGTATTTAAAATTAGCTTAAGATTATTGCACACGCTGCAGTACATTTGTATTTGTCTTTCAAAAGGGCATCTAGAAAAAGCTTGTCTGGTTTAGAAAACAAAGTATTTTACATGGATTTCTTTTCCTGAATGCATCATCTTAGAGTAGTTTTTTTACTGGCTCGCCTTTACTGAATAGTCATGTGTGATGTAAATGTCTGGTTACTTCCACAAACCTTGTCAGTGAGCAAAACCTCAGGTATCGGAAATAGAAGAGCCTTTAGGCTTTCTGTTACATTTGGAGTTGAGCATTTGGATTAACATCACCATTCTGTGCCATGATTTCAAGCTAAAATGTTCCATGGGGTTTTGGTAAGGAAGGAAACTGTACAAGTAGTATCATTCCAGTTATACAAACACAATCCTAATCATTAAGGAACCAGGGTTGGCAATTTCAGTGGCCTAGCTATTTTCCCAAATTATTTAGTACATGTGAAAGGAAAAGCTAAGGCTCATTATGAGGGTAAAACCAAAGAGGGATTAAGAATATTTCTCAGGCTTAATACACTGTAATTTTATTATTTCCTTAAATATGATCTGGGCGAAGAAGTGATGAAAGGTTTGTTTGAAATCATTGCTTTGAACAGGCTTAACTCTGGATTTGGACTGGCATATCAAAGAGAGCGGTCTCCATGTGGGCCTGTGTTGAAGAGGGGAAAATGTCCCAGCCAAGAATTAATCTAAGTGCAGTAAATAGTACAGAATGTTAATCCTCCTACCTCAAATACACCAATTGCCTGACTTCCTGCTGAAAGCCCTTACATTTCTCCAGGACATCTAAATCAATAGGGATTGTTTATGGAATAAATGTCCGCAAGTGGAAATAAAGGAGCTTAAGACCTCACATAGGCTGTTAGGTAGAACAGCATCTTCTCCTTGCATGGATACTTGAAGCTAATGCAGACAGATGTAGTCGTAACAGTCTAATCTCTGACTGTTGTGGTGATTTGAAAAGATCAGTAGTTCTCCAAAAGTTACAACCTCCCAACTGACAGAATTAGCACAAATCCTCCTCTTGCCTGTGCTGGTTTAAAGACATGATCCAGTAAAGCCTTATCCATGTACGCAGTTTGAAACTTGTGACTATTCGCACACTTCAAAGCATGCCTGCAGTCTTATTTAACCTACATCTGAATGTGATTTCATGGAGGTTGAGTGAATTAATGCCTGGTTTCCATCAGTGAAGAGCGGGAGGTGTTGAACCGGGCCAACCTCTCACGGTTTTCAAGCTGTGCTGTCCAGTTTTACAGTTTGTTTTTTGCAAAGGACATTAACAGGGAAGTAAACAGTTAATTTCTGAGATGAATGACATGAAGGACATGTTATAAAGTAAGGACATGAGTTCTGGTTTTATCTACTTTGTATCATGATGTCGCTGCTTAAGGCTTTTGATAGATTGGAAATAACATTACAGTCAGGGTCATGTAAATTAACTGTAGCAGTGACAGCAAAAAAAAAGGACTTTTTAACTGAAAATCAACAGTTATTTCGGTACCTACAGACCTTTTTACACATAATCTGTAAAATAACTTGCAGTAGGCCTCAAATCTGTTGAACACAGAAGCGTATGATATTAATTTTCAAGAACTACTTAAATACAAACCAACCTCAAGGCAGTTTAAGCAAGAGCTTAACTTTAAACATGTGCTTACGCCCACTGTTGTGTCATGTCTGCACTGAATTCACCCACCAGATCTTAAATATGGCTCTACCCTCCTTTCCTCATGGGCATGGAAAGGAGGAGCTCCACTGCAAACAGTGGGTTTATAGAGGTGTAAAACTCAGCAAAAGGAATAGTCTGTCTTGGAGACACTGGAAAAACACCTCAGGAGTGACTAAGGTGCTGCACCAATTTCCTGGGAAGGTATGAAAATCAGCCATTGACATGGGTTTGTGAGTCATGATCTACAATATCCTTTAGTGACTCAGTATGGTGTACGGTTAAATGGCTCTACATTCACCGTCTTCAGGCATCTATCCGCATGTTGGACCTTCCTGGGTTCATGCATTTGCTTTCATACTGGATGTTCATTTTATGCAAGATTGGATTTTTTTTTCTGTTAGAAAATCGCCACTGCATTTCTACACTATCCAAAAAAATCGTCTCCCCAGAATATCATTGGAGTCCAAGGGGAAAAATAAATTACATTAAATAATCCTTATTTACTGCTGACTGTGGGTTACATTTCCTCTGTAATGCACTAATTTGCTACATTTTGTGCTTTGCAAAAAAAAAACAAAACCCAAACAAAACAAAACAAAAAAAAAGAGAAGGGATTAAATATATATTTTTTTTTTGTTTAGGTTAAAATACTCATAAAAACCAATTTTACCTCAGAAATATTCTGAGATACATAAAATAGAAGAAAATTAAATGAGTCTTTAGTCACAAAATGTACTACATCCCGCAATACTAGATTCAATTAATTTAATAAAATATAATATACATATAGATTCTGCACATTGTATTGCTTTTACCTAAGCAGAACATATGCTTAAGTAAGCGTGATATAGGTTAACCACTTCTTTAACCAGCTGGTTCTTTAATCTTTCTTTGGAAATTTGTTACCCAGTGCCATGTTGGAAT